AATAGTTTGGTTTATTCATCTATAATGCGAACGTGAAACAACTTGTAAGTATTATTTTTCATTTGGATGTGATTCATATATTCATACTGTATATTCGTATATTCGTAACAATTATCCAATATACTTTGAAAAAACATATTAACAGCAAGACACACAAGGAAGTGAATATTTCGCATATATGCGAAAAAAAACTCATGAAGGTGCTATTAATCAAGCTAAAGTAGATGTTGCTGAAGCAAAATACAAAGGTGACGTCGGTTCTAAGCTTCGAGAAGGTTTAACTAGACAAGAAACGGTAATTTACCATGATTTTAGTTTATTTATAACTTAATTTTATAATATTTTATCGTTATACTAACTAATTTTTTTTATTATATAGTCAAAAATCGAAGCCGATACTGTCTTGATTGAAAATGAACGAAAAGTATCCATCGCTCAAGCAGAAATGACCTTGTCTACTAAAAAATCTGAATATGATCAACAAGTTAAGATCGCTGCTATTGAAGCCGAACAAGCCGCTAAGATGCGACAAGCAGAACTTCAAAAAGAAGTCGAAGAACGTCGACTTTTATCCGAAACTGAACGTCTTAGAGTTCAACATGTTGCAAAAGCCACTGCTGAATTTGAAGCTGCAAAAGCTATCGCAAATGCTAAACTATATACCGCACAAAAAGAGGCCGAGGCTGAATTGTATAAGAAACAAAAAGAAGCTGAGGGTGTATTAGCTATCTACAATGCTCAGGCTGAAGGTATAAAGAATTTAATGCAAGCATTTGGCGGTGATAGACATACTGCTCTTCAATACGTAATGATTGAAAGAGGTATATATCAACAATTGGCCAAAGAAAATGCACAAGCTATTCAAGGTCTCAACCCGAAAATTACTGTTTGGAATACTGGTGAACCTAATGGAAATGCAAATAATGCAAACCCTATTGCCAATATTTTCCAAAGTTTACCTCCATTATTGTCAACTATTCAAGAACAAACTGGAATTACTCCCCCTAATTGGATCGCTCAAATGCCATCTTCTAATACAAAATCTAGTTAATTCTTAGGTTGTTTTTTTTTCTATATTAGCTACTTTACTGTAACTTTATTGTAATATATGTATAAATTTTATCCAATAGCTTGTATTTTTATTTTCTAATTCTTTTATTTTATTTGTTGGTTATTTTATGTCAGTTTTACATCCAACTTTTGTCAATCATTATCTTTAAATGATTTATATATGATTTTATTAAAGGATTATATTAATGATTTAAATTATATATTACAGTATTGGATTCAATTGGCACTCTTAAAATGTTCAATTGGCACTCTTAGTCATGTTAATTCTTACAGATAATCCACCAATGTCCGCATACATATGCAAATGTAGTACGGCTCAATAACACATTAGTGTTTACAGAAATTTGCAGAACACACGACTCCTAAAAAAAAGTGAAAAAGCAGTAATTTTAACCGAAACAAATATTTATAATCAGCCCAAGATGATCGCAATAAATTCGGGATAATCTTTACTAACGCGATATCAACAATCACGCCATGAATCAGTGTAACAAACATCACAGTAATAATAAAAAAGAACATTCGAAATAGTACGTACACATACGTAGGTAAAATATGAAAGAAAACCCGTAAATCTTAGTAGATAAGATTTATGGGTTTTCTCTAACAGCAGAGACCGTTAATGTTACACATATATTAAACTGGTGAGGGATTATATCCATCACAATTGAATCCAATATAAATAATTTAATTTGTGATTGATCACAGGATAGAGGGATTCACTCTGGATCAGGCACTGTATCTGCTGTTGTTTTCTCTTGGCGGCACTCATATGAATCTACGGTATATATTTGGTCTATATCACAACATTAAATTGTAAAGAATTAATGGTCTTATCTATTGTAATTGGCTAAAATTTGTAAAAAAAAACTGGTACTGTCGATGTTTGCATCACCATCATTACACTACTGTTGCACCGCTTGTAATATGCTCGTAATATTCTCGAGATTAATACCCGGACGCGAAATAAGGAACTCGATTAGTTAAATACGCGTTTCTTTTCAAAATCTTGAATGCTTAAGTGTAATATTCCACATGAACCGATCGGATAATGTTTGTACCAGATCCGAAAATTCGGATCTGGATCCGAAACTACATTTTGATCAGAGCCAGATATAGAAATGATGATATAACTGCACCAACCTAAAAAATTTCATTGGTCAATAGATCAGGTGTGACGCAGAAGAAACGCGAAAAATCAAAACAAACCAAAAACCACTCATAACTCAACATTTTATCTATAAAATCACCTCTGCGCACTAACAAAAAGTTTTCTTTGCGAAATTTTGGTAATACTAAAGCTCTTTCTAGCCTAGCTTAATAGCAAAACCTAATCCTAATTGAACAGCGAAATTTTTTTAGCGAAATTTTTTAGGTTGGTAACGCTAGACCAGTTATAGTAAATCAATCATATTCTGAATTTCAGTAAATTATTTGCAAATCGAAAAATCAAATTACGAACGCCAAGAATTTGTGCAGGACCAAGTGATATTCAAGTTGACTTAGCACTCATTTGTTTTAATCGAAACTAAGTTGTATAAGTTTTCAATCTTATAAAACGTAGAATACATTCAACTCTAAAATTCTAATTGGTTCCAAATCCACTTATACAGTATTTATAATTTTATATACGTACATAATACAGTCAACCCTCCATATCATCGGGACCAAACTTTTGAGGGCTTGCATTTAGAGAACATTAATAAAAAATGCATTTATAGGAGTTTAGTATATATTTTGGCCAGAAAATTAATATGCATTTAAGGAGGTCATGCACTTAGGGGGATGCATTTAGGGAGGGCTAACTGTATTAGGTCAATTTCTTATTTGAGATAGTTCTTATTTTGATTAGAGATATATACAAACCAGTCAAATCTAAAGTTAGAGTATTTTATAAATTATAAATTTTGAATATACTCGTATTTTTATATGTAGTATAATTTTCAGAAATTTAAAGATAGGTAAATGTAGATTATTTGTCATATGATCTCATGTGCTAAAAATTTTTTATACAAAAATTGAGTATATGCTATTAGTAAAAGTTTTTAAAGCTGCAATTAAACTTTACCAAAACTTCATAATATATAGATTAAAACCTTTACTTTATAATAATAAATTTTTAGCACTTATATCATTTAAGAAAAATCCACCTTCATATATCATTAAATTCTCCTAGGTTGATTGAAATTTGTCTAGATAACAAAGGTTTATTCTAGAAACAGGAAGTAGCTAGGCTCTTACCAAGAATAGAAGAAGTTTAGAAACTGGATGATACAACTGTAAAACTTACAAAAAGAACCTCACATATATTCATTGGCCTATCACTTTTCTTTGAGGAAATTTTGTAAAAAGTGGGTGTTTTAGTTTACCTTCCAAAAGATCGATATCATATTCACCAATTAGTCAGCATTGTTTATCTTCTAAATTGG